GCCCTCGCAATCAATCATAGCACCGAACCGACTGAGCCAATCCATGCCTACAATCACGCACACCTCCCCCATGGGGATCAGAATCAAATCTATCGGAAAAGGACACCCCGAAAATCTCCAAATCACACCCTCGATAAACTGAAGAAGCATAAACCCCGTGTTCTTTGGCGATAGACACTCGCAACAGACACTCTAACTCGCCTACTGGCACACTAAACTCCCTACTAAATGACTGAGATACGAAGGACCGACTCGCCCCCGAGTCAAATAAGACCAAAGCAGGCAAAGAGTTCACTAAAAACGTACCTAATCACAGGTACAACAGATAAGCATACAACAGATATAGAAAACGAGATAAAGGATAGAAACATACCAGCAACCACATCTGGTGCTGCCCTGGCCTCCTCTGCGGTCAACTGGAAAGCACGACCCTGAGCCTTCGGAGGCTCTGCCCTGACTGGTCTCCCATCCGTGATCCTCAAGGTAGTCGGCGCTGGAGCATGCGCCGGCTTGGCGGCTAGCAACGGACAGTTGGCCTTAATGTGGCCAACCTGATCGCAGTGATAACATAACCTCATACCCTGAATCGGGACTGCCTGGCGGCAGTCCTTCGCGTAATGCCCCGTCTTGCCACACCTGTGGCATCCACTATCAGCTCGACGCACACCAGAATGACCCTTGCCGCACTTCCCACAAGTGCGGCTCTGCTGACCCCCGGTCCTAGTATCAACGGTCTTAGACCGCTTCGGCGCCGGTTGAGACTATGTCGGGGCCTGCCGCTGCTCCCTCAACTGCAACTCAATCTCTAACTCACGCCGTCTGGCGGCCTCCTGCAACTCTAGAAGAGTATCACATCGCTGGGTAGACACAAACTGACGGATATCCGTCTTGAGCATGCTCAGATAACGGGTCATCTGAGCCTGCTCTGAAGCAAACTCTAGGCAAAACATCGCCCTCTCAGTGAACATACAGGTGATCTCCGTCACCGACTCCCCATCCTGTCTCAAACTCAGAAACTAATGTGCCAAACGTTCCCGCTCAACCCGCGGAATGTAACGGGCGCGGAACATGTCCCTGAACTGCTCCCAAGTAACATCAACTCTCTGATCATCAGTGTACGACCCAGTCGCAAGTCTCCACCAGTCCTTGGCCCCAGACCTAAGCAGGTTCAGAGCACACCTGACCTTCTGGTCAGCAGGACACGAGCAGGTGAAGAAACACCCCTCCACATCTGAAATCCATCTCATAGCCTTGATGGGATCCTGCGTCCCATTAAAAGTAGGGGGCTTCGTGTTATCGAAGTCCCTGTACTGGAAGCCCCTACCAACTCCTCCTCCTGCCGCTGATACAGCTGATGCAGCTGCTGCGGCAGCTGTCTCCGCAAGGGCTGCATAGCGCTCATCAAAGTACTCCACCATGGCGGTCTTAATCGACCCAAACATCTCTGGTAACTGTGCGTGGAACGCATCAGCAACCTTACCATGCAGGATCTCTCGGATCCTGGCATCCAACTCCTCTGTACCCATCTGCACCACTGGCTCAGGTGCTGTTGGCCCCTCCTGGCCTCTGTCCCCTGATCCTGATCCCGAACCGGATCCAACCACAAAGTGTTTTCGTCATCACCATTCTGAAACATACCACAAGATATCAGATAATCCATATAAATAACTGGGAGCCAACTCCCTACAAACCCTAGGGATCGTGACTTACTTGACACGAGTATGGGTCCTGTGCTTTCAGTAGTACGGGCCCATACTACCTTCCACACCTACCCATATTTGTCTCAAGCATCACCACAATGCCCTAACTGAATACACAACATGGCGAGCGCTCAATCCTCACTCCTAGAGGAATGTTAAAGATCTCATAACTGGCCTCCCGGCCCCACACAACCCACCCATCCATGAAACTTCCACCAACCCTGCAGTACTAGTGTATGCTAGCCATACATGACACTGGACCCTATAGACTTTCGAATATCCAATCCTACCCTAAGCTCCCAATCAAACAAGAACAGAACATAAGGCCAAATCAAACATTCTCAGGCTATAAGATCTTAATTATGTATGACCGTGATGCATACACTAAGCAACTACAATAATGATGTCAATCTCATATAAAGGAAACCCTAGGCTAGCAGGCATCATGTGATTAGGCAATTCTATCATGCAATTCCTGAAGATCCTTAGCCTAGTACTAACATGCTAATCTACATATCTCATAATCAAATAACTTGTATGGTATTTTGGGGTCTACTTACTGGCTCCGACTAATCGTACACCCTGCATCCTCCTTTACTTATTTTGAAAACCTTTTTGAAAAATCATTTTGAAAATCCCTTCCTTGATTTGAGACTGGAGTTACACGCATGTTCCTCCAATTCACTCAAACCAAGGCTCTGATACCAACTTGCAACACCCAAAAATTCAAACCAATTTAAACTTTTTAAAAACATTTCAAACCATTAAAAATCATTACAACTTTGTTTTCAAAATGTATAATATCAGAGTTTTCCCAGAAACATAGACAAAACATGAGGAGCTGTACGATCACGCCTTCGCCATGCCGCGATCCCCTGATGTACCTGAAACAATAAGCCGAAACTGTAAGCCCGGGAGCTTAGTGAGTTCCCCCAAAATACCGATACACATACAGTCCATATAAACATATCATAACAAACTGAAAAACATGTAATGGGTCCCCAGTTTTACAGACTGGATTACCCCTGAGCCCACAGTACGAGTCTCCCTTTAGCCCGTAACTGGAATGCTCCCGAGCCCATAGTACGAGTCTCCCTTTAGCCCGTAACTGGAATGCTCCCGAGCCCACAGTACGAGTCTCCCTTTAGCCCGTAACTGGAATGCTCATAAGGTCTGTTGGCTATCGTACGGAGCAGTACAACCTCAACCCATCCCACATAACATATAACATACCATATAACCACTGAGCATGCAATAATCATATAACATCACAGGTAGTCCTACAGGTCTACCTAACTGGCATAACTACTAGCATGCAACACTAACTTATACTCAACATCTAACACTGCTAGGATAACATATCCAATGAGCCGGCCTTGGTGCCTTAGACCCCTTAGTATAGTGAGGATAACTCACCTTGCAACTGTCGTCTGAAACTAGAAAGTTCAACTCCTGGATCACCAACACGAACTCCACCACCTATAGTTACCATAAAACCCTTTTTCATAAATCTCCAAATTACCAGAATATCCTCAGAAGTCAACTGGTCAACTCTTGGTCAAAGTCAAAGTCCACAGTCAAAGTCAACAGTCCATGTTGACTCGACTCGTCGAGTGTAGTTCACCGACTCGTCGAGTCCTTCCTGAACTCGAGAAGTCGTGAAATCCTTGATTGGCTCGTCGAGTTCCCCTTTAACTCGCCGAGTTCATACGTGTCCAAGAATTGGGAGAAACCCTAGCCGACTCGCCGAGTCTTCGAACGACTCGCCGAGTTCAGGGCAATCTTCAACGGACTCGCCGAGTTTGTTCATCAACTCGACGAGTTCATGACCATCTTCATATGACTCGCCGAGTTGACTATGCAACTCGCCGAGTCCTTGCAGACCTCTATCCATGCAGACACTTTTTAAGCCATGCCAAGGTTCTAAATTACACATCCAAGCTTCTAAGGCATGATTAACACGTAAAGTTGCAAACTTTACACACATGCAAGGCCCTAAAGGCTCTAAATGACCATTCTAAGCTTCTAATGGAGCTTTACTCCTTAGGAGAGTCTCATCCTTGCAAGAGCTGGAAACTTTATGGACTTAGGACTCAAAAGTGGTTCAGATCTGAAGTTTCAACTTCAGATCTAGCTCCCATACCAAAATTCCTTCATGAATAACTAAAGGAAGCCCTAGTTTCCACATATGAATGATTCTAGAAGAAAAAGAGGTTAAGGTAACAGCTGGTTACCTCCAAAACGTGCCCAAACTGAAGTAGACTCTGGATCCACACAAAAATCTTGATGCTAGCCTCTTGATCTACAAATCTCCTTCACAAAAGTCACTTCCCAAAGCTCCAAAACACTCTCCAAGCTCTCACTCACGGAATTTAGGGTTTCTGGGTCTCAAGAGGGTGATAGAGGACAGTGGGAGGCGCTAATGGTCCAATATATAGGGTGCAAAACCCTGAAAATTAGGGTTTCCACTGCCAGCTCCTACTCGTCGAGTCCCTCATGCCGACTCGACGAGTCAAGCGCCAACTCGTCGAGCAGACCTTAGACATGAAATCTAAATGGAAAAATTAATAATACCTAACGGTTGGGATGTTACACTCCAGGCGACAAAGAGTATGCCCAGAACACTAACGCCTGAGCCAATTGTTGGCCCCGACATAGCAGGAGACACGATTAGCCAATCAGAGTAACGGATCCTACCGGGAGTGCAGTCCCTATTCCCCGTACGGAACAGCAAGGATCCCCAGTATAAAAGGGCCTCCGCCCTACCTTGAGAAGTAAGTAATATCTCTCAGTCCTCATCACTCTCAGTCATATATCTCCCATTGACTTGACCGTCAGAACGTCCTCTCGGGAAACGGCTGTCAACCTTCTTTGTTGTGACTTTGTAGAGCCTTCCGACGACAACAAACACTTTGAGAGCCGGTGGTTGGAGCCAAGTTCACATCGATTACTATAATAAAAAAAATAGAAAATGAAAATAATAGAGGAGAAATCTATCATTATAAAACATTTCAAATTCTCTAAATAAAAACTACAACAAAATAAGAAGTTTGGATTTATGGTGCTAAGCTAAATTTTTTTTCTTTTTTTTTTTTTGACTAAAGCTATCAATTTTCAACAAACCACTAGATTGTTTTTTGCAATTTTGTCTTTATATAATCACAAAATCTATAATGAAATCTAATTGATTTAACACATATGCGTATTTCCGTGTCGTTTCATTTGAGTTGGACGGTAGTTTCCTTTTAGGGTTTATACGAATTAGTTGCGACATCAGTTGTGAAATTACCAGAATACCCATTCTACAGTACATATACCCTCATCGTCTCTAGATTTTAGGGTTCTTGCTCTTCAAGCCGAAGCCCTAAAACCTTCTTTCTTCCTCTGTTCATCACCCCAAAGTTAGCCAATTTATATGTCGATATTGATTGACACAATGCATCATCCTAATTGATAATTCTTTAATCCATGTGTTTTCCAATTCGTACTCCAAACCCTATTAAAATCTCACGATGCAGATATTGAATTCAGACGAAACAGCAGTTGTTCCAACTGATGAACATGATTGCACCACCACCCCGACCGAAAACATCGAAGAAGAGTTGGATGAGAACTCGAATGTAGAATCCGCAATAGATGCTTCTGGAAAGACTTTGGATCTCCAGGTTTTGGATGAGAGTAGGATTAGTGACGGTGATAATTCTTCAATAGAGGGTTTATATGTGTACAAGAATACGTTCAATTTGATTCCTCGATCGGTAGGGGGTTTGGTTAGGTTAAAAACCCTTAAGTTCTTTGGGAATGAGATCAATTTGTTTCCTTCTGAATTTGGCAACTTGGTTAACCTCGAAAGATTGCAAGTGAAGATTTCTTTGCCGGGGTTGACTGGATTACCTCTACAAAAATTGAAGGCCTTGAAGGAGTTAGAGCTTAGTAAGGCGCCTTCCAGGCCTTCAGCTTTTCCGTTACTGGGAGACATAATGGGACTTGAACGCTTAACCAAGCTATCTGTCTGTCACTTTTCTATCAGGTATTTTTTTTAGTTCTTCTATTTCTTTTACAAATCTAATTTCTGTTAATTGCTATGTGAATAATGTGAGTCACATTGAAATTTAACGAATTTAATCATGGTACTGGCCTCTTCAATCTTTAATTTCTGAAATGACTACGACTCATAGTCAATACAGGATTGATTTCTCTGTTTACATCAGAATGACATTAGCCATTAGAGGAAAGAACTAGGATTTTAGGCGTGTTCCTGAAACATTAACTATTGCCTTACAACTGAAAAATAGGCCACATGTCCACAACGCCTTAATTGCTGTGCTCTTCACTTTACATTTGGTAATATCCAATTCTTTTCTCAATATCTTCTATTTGCCTCTTCTTTTCTCGTGTGACTAGAAAGTGGACATAACTTTATAAGGTCAAAACAGTTTTAACTAGCGACTTATCTCTAGTATTTTGGCTGTGAACCATGTTCTCATATTCTATGGTGGACAAGAAGACCTTTTTCTCTGGATATCGTGAACAGAGATTTCAATATGAATTGTAAGGATGTTTACTTGTTTACTTAGTTTATTCCATGGTTTGATTTGATATAAGCATCATTGCAAATGTCGTCTTGCCTTGATCATGCATGTTTATATGATTCCCTAATGAGGTGATGGACTGATGGTGCAATAACCACCCAGGCAACTGTTTTTTTGCTTAAAGAAACTTCAAAGCACATAAAATAAACAAAACTAAAAAAAAAAATCATAAAGGAGGGTTGTTTTTGGAGTAAAGATGTAAATAATTTAGGGTTACCTCTTCTCTAGTCTCTGTATATGCTGATAACCATATATTTAACTCAAAGTACTGATGAAATTTGGCCTCCTCCTTATTTTGCAGATATTTGCCACCAGAAATTGGCCGTCTTACTTGCTTGGAGTACCTAGATCTTTCACACAATAAAATGAGAATTTTACCCTCAGAAATCACTAATTTGAGTGCCCTCATAACATTGAAAGTTGCCAACAATAAATTGATCCAAGTACCTCCAGCCTTGTCCTCTCTCCAAAGATTAGAAAACTTGGACCTTTCAAACAACAGGTTGACATCCTTGGGGTCTCTTGAATTTGACATGATGCATAATCTTCGCAGACTAAACCTTCAGGTACTTACAATCAAGTTAATCCCTTTCCCAAGTAAATCTTGTCTTGAAACTAGTAGAAACTTTAAAAAATGAATGCCTGAATGTTTAAGATAGTCAATGAGCAATGGTATATGCTTCTATGTATAGGGTTATTTTGCACCTGAAGTACATTGACATGCTTTATGTGACTTGATCTTGACGAAGGTAATATATATTCTTTAATTGTAGTGCTAAATATGGAGAACTACCTTGATATATGCACAAAAAATCAACTCTCATTTGGTTGTATACTTGTATTTGTATACACCTATATGACTGCTTTATAATATTTTTTGGATGCGTTGGTTTTCTTGGGTATAATAAATACATCAAGAGGGGACTTTGTTATTATGCTATTCTTTTCTCTTCTTCTTTAGTCTTTACCTAATGAACGCATATCATTTGTATGTCATTCTAGCTTGACTGATGCTGTTATATGTCTTCTTTTCTAGTTCAATAAGCTTCCAAGTTTTTCTCAACTACCTTCATGGATAAGCTGTGATCTCGAGGGCAATGATGAGGACATGACCAATGGTGAATTCATCAATTCATCTGTAGAGATGGATGTATTGGAAAGTACTGTCACAGCCCTTGATGATGATTCCATAAATGGTAGTCTTTCTTCCTGTCACTTGTTTAAATATTTCATTATTTTCAGAGATGGATTCTAATGTGTGCTAATGTGATCCAGATTCTCCTGCTTCCATGTCAAGTCATTTAACTGGTTCTTCACCAAATAGATCTTTCCCAGCAAGAAAACCTAGGAAGGGGTGGAAAAGGCGTTACTATTTGCAACAGAGAGCTAGACAAGAGCGTTTAAACTGCAGTAGGAAGTGGAAAGGTGATGATTCTGTCCATGCTTCAACTCAAAACACAACCGAAAATTGTGAATCCTGCAATACTATTGTTGCATCTGAAGCCCTTCTAGAAGGTCCCTCAGTTAATGCTTCTGTTGATCTGGATAACAAAGAACTGCTTCCTGCGGATGGTGAAAGTGAGAAGGACCTTAGTTCAGAACAGGTTGAGGGCAAAGAGGTTGAAGATGATTGTAGCAAAGAAAAGGCTGAATTGGGTGCTCTTTCAGAGGAGAAGTTGGTGGTGGATAATTCATGTGGTAATAATGCCAATACACATACAAAAAGACATTCTGAAAGGGATCTTGATAACCCTAAACCAAGAAAGTCAAGAAGACCAACTGACATACACGTAAACCAGTCTTCTAAATATAGTACAATGTCATTTTGTAGCATTGAGGATTATCTCCCAGATGGGTTTTATGATGCAGGGCGAGATCGTCCTTTCTTGCCTCTCAGTAGCTATGAGAAAAGCTTGCATCTTGGCTCACGTGAAGTTATAGTCATGGACAGGTAGTTTTTGTAATCTTGATAATCAATTATTGTCTGTTGAAGGATAATGATATGTAAACTGAAGGTAAATGTTTTTTCAGGGAAAAGGATGAAGAGTTGGATGCTGTAACACTTTGTGCTCAATCATTGGTGTATCATTTAAATCAGATGTATGGTTCCACGAAAGATGAGGGAGACATTTATCTTGGTAAATTACAGATTGCTTCCTTGCTTGCTCTGTTTGTATCTGATCACTTTGGAGGGAGTGACAGAAGTACAATGGTTGATAGGGCACGCAAGTCTGTATCTGGATCAAACTATAACAAGCCTTTTGTCTGCACTTGTCCAACTGGGAACAACAACAATATTATGAAATCCACAAAACAAAATGTAAACTCAGCAGCAGATGACACTGCTCTCCTATGTGAAAAATCTCTTCAGTTGATAAAAGCAAGGAGAAATTCCATTGTTGTCCCTATTGGAACTCTACAATTTGGTGTTTGTCGACATAGGTCTTTGCTCATGAAGGTAGTTTAATAATCTATTTACTTGGGTCATGTCTCATTTACTTTCCGTGTATAAATAAATAATTTATTTGTTTTTCCATTTGCTTATAATTCAGTACCTTTGTGATCGAATGGAGCCTCAAGTACCATGTGAACTTGTGAGAGGGTATTTGGATTTTGCACCACATGCGTGGAATGTAATTGTGGTTAAGAGGGGTGATTCAGACATTCGGATGGTAGTGGATGCATGTCGTCCTCATGATATAAGAGAAGAGACAGATCCAGAATATTTCTACAGGTATAATATCTAGTTATACATACATGATGATGTGTAGTTATGTTGTATATATATTAAGTTGGTTGGTATTTTAATTTTAGGTATATTCCTCTGAATCGGATCAATGGTGATGCACACTGTTCTTTTCCATCTCTTTCTGCTGCATACGAAGACATCAAGGAAGGAGATTCAAGTTCAACAACCCTTATTGAATGCAACCTGGGATCAGTCGAGGCTGCTGCTAAGGTCTTGATAACTGTTATAATTGTTTATTTGTTGTAATAACTATGTATGAGTATGAGTATCACATTTCTTAATTGTTGTTTACATGATGTTGCAAATATTAACAGGTGCGCACTTTGAAAGTGAGTGGGAGCTCTGCAGAGGAAGTTAGGAATTTTGAATATAGCTGCCTAGGGGAAGTGAGACTTCTAAGTGTTTTGAAGCACCCTTGCATAGTAAAAATTTTAGGTCATCAGATATCTACCAAGTGGTTACCTTCACAATCAGAAGATGGAATACCAGAACATCATCGTATATTGCAGTCTGCCATTTTTATGGAGCATGTAAAAGGTGGATCTTTAAAGGTACTTGTCATACATTATCTTATCTTTGTTCTTTTTCTTTGTGCATTAATTTTCCTCTGAATAACAAACAGGGGTATGTAGAAAAGCTTGGAAGATCTGGTGAGAAGCATGTTCCTGTGAATTTGGCGATGCAAATTGCTAGAGATGTTGCCTGGGCGTTATCTGAAGTGCATTCGAAAGATATAATACATCGTGACTTGAAGAGTGAAAATATTTTGGTTGAGATGGATGAAAGTGAAACGTGTGCAGTTGTTAAGCTTTGTGATTTTGATAGAGCAGTTCCTTTACGTTCTTGGTTGCATACATGTTGCATTGGGCATATGGGGGTCCCTCCACCTGATGTCTGTGTTGGAACCCCTCGTTGGATGGCTCCTGAAGTTTATCGAACAATTCATGATCCTCGTTTATATGGACTGGTATGTATATGTATATGTATATGCTACTTTCCCTCTATACAAAGTAAATGAGAAAGAAACAACCCCTAATAAGTTAATTCTTGTGTGGTGTAGGAAGTAGATATATGGTCTTTCGGATGCCTACTTTTGGAGTTATTGACTTTGCATGTGCCTTACGTGGGGCTACCCGAGTCCAAAATTCATGACCTCCTTTTGGTATGTATATTATTTAAGGGTTAAATAGCAACACAAATAAATCAAACTACATTGCTATAAAAGTTTTCCAACTATGATCATGAATTGATAATAATTGGTTAAAACAGATGGGGAAACGGCCACAATTGACAGATGAACTAGAGGCCTTGGGTGCAGTGGAAGAAGAAGATGATGATAGTAAAGAGACAGAGTTGCAAACTGAAGAATACAAAGAAGAAAAAACCCTCAGATTTTTAATTGATATTTATCGGCAGTGTACTCAGGATGATCCTAATGATCGTCCAACAGCCATCAGACTTTACAAAATGCTGCTTGATTTCTCAAATTTGACTAGTCAGGAAGTATAGATAGAGTCTTATCTTATTAGTTAAGCTCTCAGTTGTATTTGTATTTTTTGTGGTTAAAGTTATATATATATATATACAGACTGACTGATTGTTGTTAATTGTTATTTCTTCCCCGGTTGTTAGAGCAGAGCCCAGGTGAAGTTGTTTATGAATTTTGTTTCTTTCTTTGTACGAATTTGTTTAGTGTTAGTGTAATCCCCCCCCTCAGTCTGAATGGCTAAAATGAACATATCCATGTTGCTTGCTATTATGTGTAAAAGACAGTTAAGTATGTTGCTATTATGGATTAAAGTAATTTCTATCGTACAAGTTTTAGGTTACATAGGCTTTGCATATTGCTATTATTGAAAAAAACTGTAATTATGTTGCTATTATTAATAAAATTTTTATTATATTGGAAAAAAAAAAGTAAAATACGATGTTTTGCCCGACAAAGATGTCATGATTGGGAGTCATTAATAAAAGCGAGTCCAAACAAATCATGTATGGGATAATAGGAAATCATTTGGGGGCATTAGTTACGCCTGCTCTATTGGATATAGCAAAGTATGTTTCTATTAGTTAAGTTGGATATAGCAAAGTATGTTTTGGATATACCTTCTATTTGTTGTCCTATTTGTGATGCTGGAATGGAGTCCAACAATCATCTTTTTTTCAAGTGCTCGGTCGCGTGCGAAGTTGGTTCTTGCTAAAATTCTGGTTTGGTAGGGTTTCCAGTCGTATTCTTTTGACTCTGTTGCTCATTGGGTGGATTGGATTGGAAAGCTTAAAATAAAAAAGCATGTTAAAGAAGTGCTTGAAGGGGTGTTCTTTGTCACTTGGTGATGCCTTTGGAAGTTTAGAAATATGTTTGTTTTTGGTACCGTTCAACCAAAAAAGAGTTATTTTCGATGACATTGTTTCCCTTTCTTTCCTTTGTTCTAATAGTGCTAAGTTTAAGATAGATTGAGGGTTATGGTTACAAAACCCTATGTTATCTTTTTTGTAATGTCGTTACGTTCTATAACATTTTGCAGTTCTAGTTTCTTGATTGTTCTTGTTTTTGGTTTTATATATTTGTTGTCGTTTAAAAAAAAGTTAAGTTGGATATACTAAATGTTTGGAGTATTACAATTCTATGGTTCATTATGCGTGTTATGCGAGGAATAAAAATTTAATCAAATGCCGTAGAAGGTTTCCCATCCAATATAGTAATAGTCGAATGTTATAGAATGTTTTCCATCCAATATAGTAACATTTTGATATGTATGCATGCCAATATGACAAAACACTAGGCATTAGATACACTTATTGTAAATCAACCATCGAATAATGGTTAATGTGAACGTAGTTGATCACAATAGATGCATGATTTGAGATGTCTTGCAGACCATACCAAACTGGGAACCACGTTGTAGAATCTTCTTTGCATACATATAATAAACGATTGATGCCACCGAGAATATAACGCTCTTTTGTAAAAAATTGAATGTATTACATTCATTTTATAATTGCACAAATGAGAATGATTCATTTATTCAATTATTTGATTTCACTACAATAAAACCGTAAATTACTGTCAGTTTTTGCTTTTTTGAATGATTCCTTCTTTGCTTTTTGAAGTGAAAGTAATTATTTGCCCACTTTAACTATTAAAAAAAACAGTCCTTGAATTTGATCGCCAATAATGTAACTATATAAGTATATATAAGGTATCTATTTTTTATGTTTTAAATTGTTATATCATGTTTTCATTAGACAAATTTACATGTTATCTCTTATTTAACTAACATTTTCAATAAATTTGTTTCAAGTTTTATGTTTTGATATTTTTGTTATGAATTTGATCTTTTAGTATTTTAACTTTTTTTTTCTAAATTTGTTTTTATAATACTTTTTGCTTTAATTTTCAAAAAATACTTTTGTTTTCTGAGTATGTTTTACATGTTACATATAAAATTAATTTTATATATATATTTTTTTACAAATCTAGGTTTTTATGAACATTACAATTAAAAAAATGTCTTTTAAGCCACTCGATTTATATAACATGTTCTTCAAGTGTATCTACATTCCATCCTCAAGGTTTTTTTTTTTTTTTTAACAAAAAATTATTACCGTAATATATATATATATATATATATATATATATATATATATATATATATATATATATATATATATATATAAAGGTTTTATTTATTTATTTATAATGATAGTAGATAAGTAGATATACTTAGGTAAAATAAAAATAAAAATATTTGAGTGGTCATAATGGATCACATTATATACATGTCTCATGAGAGATGCGAAATAAAAATTTCTCTCGTATTATTATTATTAATTTTTTTTTAAGTTCAATATCATTTTTATAAATTTATAGAAATAATATACCTTCTTGGACATTCCGATCGCATAAATAGTTATGGAGGTAATCACAAAAAAAGATGATGTAGATAAGAAAAAAACCATATTTATTAAGTAATAACAAAATATTTTAAATAATAATAAAATAGTGGAAGATAGTTATAAACAAAAGACAAGAAAATATTTTTTAATTTATCTAATAGAAATAATTAATTTAAATATTTAGACTAATGTATATTAGACTAGGTATACTATACTAAAGCTACACATAATAGAGATGATTCCATGCGTGGAATGACCAATTCACACATGAACACCGTCTTATCCTTCTGTAATTGTGTTGTGGAGTGGGTGGCTTCACGGGCCTTCACAGTGGCTCTCTCTCTTCTTCTCTGGATCACCCCCTTGATGAATAACGTAAGCAATAACGTTTAAAGACAATGAGTCATAAGCAATGACGATCGAAAGCATTCATTGAAGAAATATCTGTCCTTGCGTTGTGAAAGGAATAATAATTATAAATAGTTGTTTGTCGTTTGTCGTTTAAGAATTATATGTCGTCAATAATTATAAATAGTTGTTTGTCGTTTAAGAATTTTATGTCGTCAATAATGTAAGAATAGTAATAGTGTAAGTGTCAATAATGTAAAATATATGTTTGTCGTGTTTTGCAATCATACGATTGCAATAATGTAAATCGGTTTGTATCAGACTCTTGAAGAGTCTATAAATAGGACATTGCCCATTATGAATAAAACAAAATTATTGTGTGTAAGACTTGAGTACTCTCAAAGCTTTCTCTGTTGAAATTTATATTTATGAATAACATAGTTCATATTTAATTTCGTATTATCAAATTATAAACGTAACATTCAGGTCAGACATTTTATCTATCATCATCTTTATTATTATCATTATTATTATCTTATTTCTTGATTGATTTCATATATTTATATACACGTGAACACCGCTCCCTTAGACTGTAATGGTGTTGGTGGAGGGGAGTTGTGATGAGGTGGTCATGCCTTCACGTGTATGCAGGACCGGTTCTGAGGAATTAAATATCTTCAAAGACACAGGATGAGTTAGAAAAAAGAGCCCCTTATTGTTATTATAAGTTTTTATTTTTAAATAAATATATATAATAAAAAAATTGGGCCCTGTGCAACTGCCCACTTTGTCCCTCCTCAACGCCCCCATGCTTCGTATGCATACTTGATAGCCTAATGTATATAACATCCTATACGATTTTCTGAAAATTCTTTTGAAAAACTATACACAACCAAGAAAGTGGGAACAAATTGGATTCCAGTTTTCCAATTTGGTAAATTTTGTAGAAAAACATGGTGTCACACCACAAAATATTTAAGTATTAGTTAAATGAAGTTAAGCTGTATTTTCTTTTTCTTTCCAAATATAATTTCTAGAAATTCGGCGTATCTCACCTACTAAAACGACACTCCTCGTCCTGAAAACTTCTCGATGGGGTCTTCGTTGCGGCATTTCATCAAACAGTTGCAGTGCGACAAGACCCTCCTTCGGCCTCTTCTCATATCCCTTACGTCCATTAGACCTCTCTCCTCGTCTTCACAAACAACAAAACCTGGAGGATTATATGCTTCGTTTTTCTGCACACTAATCCACCTATTACTCTCTCGCAACCGGCTCTCAAAAGCAGCAGATGCTTTCAGTGCCATGCGAAATTACAATTATGTTCCTGAAAGCTTACAATCTTGGAACCGCCTCCTTCGAGAATTCAACAACTCAGGGATGGTTTCTCAGGTATGGTTTGTTTATTCGGAGATGATCTCTTGTGGTGTTACTCCAAATGTTACAACTCGCAATATAGCACTTCATTCTGTATGTAAAGTGGGTAGAGTCGGATTAGCTTTAGATTTACTAAGAGATACTAGTTTTGGTGAATGTGATGTTGTTAGTTATAATACTGTGATATGGGGTTTTTGTAAATACGGGTTTGTTGACCAAGGATTTGGGTTATGTTCGGAGATGATTAAAAAGGGGTTTACTTTTGATGAATTTACTTGTAATATATTGGTCAAGGGTTTTATAGATACAGGTTTTTTGGGATATCTGGAATGGATTCTTGATCAGTTTGGTTATAAAGGAATTGGTTATGTGGATGTAGTTGGTTTCAATACTTTGATTCATGGGTATTCTAAAGCTGGCAATGTTAATGCTGCTCTTGAGATGTTGAGTAGGATGATGGAAGAAAAATCTTTCCCTAATGTTGTTACTTACAATACTTTGATTGACATGTTCTGCAAGATGATGGATATTCCTCAGGCTAAAAGTCTTTTTGATGAGCTTATGGTACCTCAAAACAATGGTGGGTCGGTTCTTGAGGAACTGAATATAAAGCCAAATGCTATCACATATACTTCACTTATCAATGGGTACTTAAAGCAGCAAGGACTTGAAGAAGCTCTTAATTTGTATGAGAAAATGGCCATGGATGGATTATCATATGATGTAGTCACTTACACTTCTCTTATATACGGCCTTTGTAAGCATGGGAGGATTGATGATGCTCAAGCACTTTTTAAGGAAATGCAACGGGTTGGTATATACCCTAATCATATAACATACTCTGTGTTTTTACATTCGTTCTTTAAGTCAAGGAATGCAGCAGTTCCCCTTGGTCTACAGAGTCAAATGGTGGTACGTGGAATTTCTTTTGATGTGGTTGTATTCACCATTATGATGGATGGGCTATTTAAAAGTGGAAGGCCTGATGAAGCTGAGATGATGTTTAAAAGTCTTTTAGCTTCTGGTTTAGTTCCAAATTGTGTCACTTATTCTGCATTGATTGACGGGCGTTGCAAGTCAGGAGATTTGGATAATGTGAAGTCTGCACTTCAAGAAATGGAGGGCAAAAATGTCTCGCCAAATGTCATTACATACACTGCTCTGATCAATGTTTTTTTAAAATTTGGAAAGCGTGAAGCAGTTCTTGAAATCTTGGAAAAAATGGTGGTTGAGAGAGTTATGCCAAATATTTTCACTTACTGTAGCCTAATTGATGGCTATTTTAAGGCTGGAGAAGAAGAAGTGGCTATCAGATTTTATGAGGAAATGAAATCGTGCGGATTAGAGGAAAACAACTTTGTACTTGATGCTTTTGTTAATAATTATAAAAGGAAAGGGAAAATGAATGAGGCTGGTTTATTTTTTCAGAATATGATATCAAAAGGACTATTTCCTGATTCTATTAATTATACATCATTAATGGATGGTTATTTTAAAGCTGGTGAAGAGTTAGCTGCTTGTAGAATGGTTGAAGAGATGACTGAGAAAGATGTGCAGTTTGATGCTGTTGCTTATAATGTTATAGCAAATGGGCTATTGGGATTGGGGAAATATGAAGTGGAATCTGTTTATAATGGAATAAAAGAACATGGGTTGTCACCAAATCTTGAAACATTTAACACAATCATTGCTGCCTATTGCAGGGTGGGTAAAATAGACAATGCTTTAAGTTTATGGAAAGAGATAAAGAGTGTAGGGTTAGTGCCCAATGAGATTACTTCAAATGTCATGGTGGGTGGACTCTGTGAAGCAGGAAAGATTGATGAAGCCATGGATTTGTTGAATGAAATGGCAAGTTTACGGATTTACCCTAGCTCCACTACTCACAGACTTATGCTCTATGCAGCTTCAAAAAGTAACAAAGGGGACGATATTTTGTTGATTCATGACCGTATTATAGCTTTGGGCCTTAAACCGAGCCAAAAAGTCTATAATGCCCTTATCACCACTTTATGCAGGCTAGGCATGACAAGAAAAGCAACATTAGCATTACAAGAAATGAAAAGCAGCGGCTTTTCTCCTGATATTGTTACGTACAATGTGTTAATTAATGGGTATTGTAAAAGCTCCCATTTAAAAAAGGCTGTTGATACATTTTTACATATGTTGGTTGAAGGAGTCTCTCCTAATATTTCAACTTACCATACCCTTCTTAGGGGTCTTTCAAAGGGTGGTCTTATGAAAGAGGCTTTGAAACTGGTTGATGACATGTTGGAAAGAGGTTTTGAGATTGATTCTGATGTGTATAACATTTTGGTTTCTGGGTATGGTAGGATTGGGAATAGGAGGGAAGCGATTAGGTTTTATTGTGAAATGATATCAAAAGGATTTGTCCCTCAAACTGGTACTTATAATGTGCTTATAAGTGAGTTTGCTAAAGTGGGAATGATGATTCAAGCAAGAGAGCTTATGAATGAGATGCAAGAGAAAATGGTTCCTCTTAATTCTTCAACTTATGACATATTGATAAGTGGGTGGTGTAAGTTAGCAAAGCGAGCTGAGCTGGAGAGCGCGTTGAGGAATTCATATGAGTATAAAGTAAAAATGTTGTTAAATGAGATGAATGAGAAAGGTTTTGAGCCATGTGAGAGTACCATTAGGTATATGACTTTGGTTTTTCAGAGACAAAGAAAGAAAAAAAAGAGTTGATTGTTGTAAGAACTCAAGATGTGAAGTTTTCAGTTGACAAAAAAAAAGAAGAAAAAGAGTTGAGTGCTGGATTGGAGTTGTATCCCCTAGGTGAAGATCCTAAAGATGTTGCTGAATGTATGTCTTTTTTTTCAACACAAACTTGATACATTACTTAAAATTGAAGCGCCATTATCTGTTGTTATGCATATATGGTTAACTTATTCCTTTTCAAAAATTTGTTTTTATGCAGACATTGTTAAAAGGGAAGGGTTCTTGCCTTGTGAGATTCCTGTTCAGAGAAGTCAGATGATGGATATAATCTTTTCTGTAAAGACTAAAGAGCCTGATCTTGATACTGGAATCCCGTTTAGAGCTGAGGTGATTACAGCCAATCCCCAATTTAATAAAATGATCCAAATGGCAATTAAGGAATACTTACATTTGTAAGATAGTTAAAGTGTTCACATTTTAGGTTAGGAAGTTGTTAGGGATAGGTTATTGTAAAGACCGAGGCTACGAAGATTGTGATTGCAACATTTTTAAATAAAATTAAAACCACTGGTTTGTGTATATTCTTTAGATTCTCTTTAATAGCTAGATACACTTTTTTATTTTTCTGACTTAGTACAAAAGAATGACTTCCTTCCTGTTATATTTTGTCTCAGGTATCTAAGCCAAAGCTTGAGATTCAAGTCTAGCAGCATCATTGGTGCCTACAATATAAAAAAAGGAGATGAGAAAATGACAAACCATTGTTGCCTCCAGTTTCTTGTTTTTTCTTGCTGTATGGATGCAGTGTTGTCTGGATAAATAATATTTGAGAAAATGACACTTCAGGATTACTTCCTCAGTTATTCAATACAATTCCAAAAACTTTATTCTCGTGTGAAACTTACCAATTATCTACATATTCTACACTAGAGTATCTCCTATGGTAGCATTCTATAAGGCTTTTTTTACTTTTTAAAAACATTTTCAAAAGATTTTTAGTCACAGGGGTTGGTGCACTTATTTTATTTTTGCCTCTTCATTGATGTTGTTTTTCAACCGGAAGTAATAAGAAGAAATGAAAGTAGGATGCTAAAGCAAACTAATTAACAAAAGTAGGCTACTATTTATTCCATTAATCATTTCCGTGCTAGTTACACTTAATAGTCATCAGTTATCGCTTTGGAACACACGTGTCATATCACCACAAACATAATTGGATATATCTTTATCCATTCTATCAGTCCACAAAATCTGATGAGATGCATCGACATGATGATCCTCCTCAACTTGTTCATCATCTTGATATAAAATTGATGTGCTTTTCCTGTAGTGATGCTTATAACAATTTCATCTCCCGGCTCCAACAAATTACCACACCTCCAAACGCTTAGCCATGCGATGTGCTCCATATACTTACGGATTTTTTTTATTCCTAGCCATGTTATATGTCAACCGAAGTTTCTTCATCTTATTATATACTTGAGTATTCATATAAGCATAATCATATCCTCTTAATCGAGAAAGCACGACACACATATTAAACCCAATTATTGTCCAACTATTTTGATGCCAAGGAACTCTAAATGAAATTTGTGGGCCTCGTTCTTTATACATAAAGCTGGAAGGGATTTATTTTTCTGGAACAAATGTGCTGAATATACCAAACTCATGTAACACCTGTGAATGACACAAACACCATTTGTAATTTAGCTTTGATTAATTCTCAACATTAGCCGATAAAACAAATATGCAAACAAGAGAAATAGAGAGATAGAAGAACTACCTGAAGACCCAACGCCATTCCTTCACAAGGATCTAATGTCAACCCCAGATATCGTATGATTTTTGTCTCAACTTTGTCTATTGATTGAACCATATAACGACCCTCCATGTCACACAATTTTGGGCAGTTGGGGCAGTACAGTACGATACTTGAATTCTGTCCAGGCTGTACTTTTTCCAAGGACTTATTGTTGCTGATATACAATACATTGATGGTTTTCGGGAGACCTATAACTGATTTGATTTTTGAGCAATCCCTAGCATGAAGCCTTGTAATTCTAGGTAGGGTTTGAATACATTTTGGTAAAGAAGTTACATTGTTGCCATCTATATTCAAAGACCAGAGCGAAACCAGACTACTCCAGTCATTTGGGAAACAATTGTCAAAGAGATTGCAATTTGAGACATCCATATCATCCAAAAAAGAAAATGATGAAACTGAATCCAAGCATTGAACCCATCCAAGAACATCAAGGTTTGGGCAACCAGACATTTGAAGTGATACAAGAGAGCTAGGTAAGCATGGGAAATCTCTTCAGCTTCTACAGTTGGTTAGATCTAACAAGACTAGTTCTTTAAGGTATGCAATCGATTCACCAACCTTGATTAAACTCAAACAACCTTTCAGGATCAAACTCTCCAGACCAGGGAGTCCATGGAAATCAGGGGTCTCAATTAGCTCAATGCAATAGCTAAGATTAAGGATTTTTAGGGATCCAATAAATTGTGACATGGGAAACCACAATTATATAATTAACAGCTAGCTTTCCATATAAACATGTTATTAAGTAACAATGTGATAGGCAACGGATTAAGATATACCTTGAAGTCATCCCAAACGCACTTTAATTTGCTGTAACTCATGTCAAGAACAACCAACTTCTCTAAAGAACTATCACCTGGTATAGCTTTTAGAGAAAATCCATGCCAACTCAGTAATCGTAATTTTTTTGGCAACTTATTGCATTTCCCATAAAATGTTACATGGTTTAGTTGAAGTAGCATTAGGTTCTTCATTTTTTCCAGCGCACCAATTTCGAAATTTGCCTTATTTCCATTTACTTTTTTGCCATGATCATATTCTTCAAAGCCACGCGTCTCTGGATTCATCGTTGCAGATGAAGTTGATTCAGCTTCCTCAATCTTTTGCATATTAAACATGAGTCCTTCTACTTTTTTTGTACCCTAAATGAGAAATTTAAAAACGGTTAACTATGGCTACTATAAATATAAATAAAGTGATTATATAGAAAAGGGCTTTCTAAACATACGGCATGGTCTTGCAACACATTGAAACAGTCGTCATGATGCCACAGTCTACTTCTTTTTCCAGGATCCTTTGGTGATTCCTAGCGAACAATTTCTCGTCCCATCTCCTTGATTAACTGATGCATCTTCACTCTCCCATATTCAACATACAATAGACATCTATCCGTTAGATTCTTGATCCCAACCACAGTGTCACAGACTGTATCTAGAATTTTCCGGAGTACTCGAGAAGCTGGTGGAGTATGCTAGTTTGAGCCGGAATATCCTAGAGCGTCTTAGAATTCTCTAGGACATCGAAGATTTATCTTGATCTTTATAGAACCATGTAAACATGTAAATATCTAGATAGATAGATTATTCTAGAATAGTCTTGTATAAAGAAATAGGTAGTAGCATCTAGAATATTCCAATGAGGAAGTGTAATGACCCTATAAATAGGGGTGTAGCCATTTGTTCCAAGATTATCGGAAGTTGCCTTGTATTCTCTTGAACTCGTATAATAGAAGCTCTCTTTCATTTGTAGTAATTCTCAATCCTTGTCTCTTGCTTTCCAAGTTGTTAGTACATCGTTAAGGAAGCGTAGTAAGCCTGACTTAGTAGGAGAAACACTAAGTGGCACACGGTGATCGAGTAGTCCCGTGACACGTGGTATCAGAGCCCAGAGTTCTTGCAAGCAAGAGATTGTAGCTATGGAAGGAGGAAGTGGTGAAGTAGCCAATGTGCCCCCGGTCGTCGAAGAGAAAGGAAGAAAGTCCAAGAAGAGGGACCAGTCAATAGAAGCCCTGGCAAGCTTCGAAAACAAGCTTACAAGGGAAGAGATTAACGTCGGTGAGATCCTTGAATGGAAGGATACCGTCGACCAGTCCATTGCTGATATTAACGACACGGGTGATGGAATAAAGGAGTCCATCAAGATCATCAAGGAAGAAGTCCTTGGATTGATCAACACCTTGCGAAATGAGTTGCGCGAGAAGATATGTACTTTGGAAGCTGAAGTAAATTTATGCAAGGCGACTATTGCTGGAGGAGCTATTGTGAAAGCTACACCACACACGGAAGCACCCAAACCGCTGAAGTATGGAGGTACGCGTGATCCTAAACAACTCGATGAATTGTTCTGGTCCCTAGAATGCTATTTCAACGATATCGGAGTAAAGGACGACAAGTCTAAGATAGACACGACCGTCCTTTACTTATGTGAAAATGCCGCTCTATGGTGGAGGCGGAAGCATGGGGACATTGAGAAAGGTCTTTACGTCATAGATACATGGGAAGAGTTTAAGAAGCAACTCAAAAAGCAATTCTGTCCTCACAATGCTGAAGACGTAGCCATGAAGAAACTTCGAGGACTCAAGCATGTCGGGTCAACTAAAGACTACGTGGCAGAATTCACCGCTTTGATGCTCGAACTACCTGACCTACAGGAAAAGGATAAGTTGTTTTACTTCCAAGACGGACTACAATCTTGGGCTTACAATGAGCTTAAAAGGAGGAACGTCCAATATGTTGACGAAGCAATAGCTGTGGTGGAAGACCTTATGGGCTTTCGAAGAGATGCTCCGGCCAGAAGGACAAGTGGGGGAGATAAACAACTCGATGAATTGTTCTGGTCCCTAGAATGCTATTCCAACGCTATCGGAGTAAAGGACGACAAGTCTAAGATAGACACGGCCGTCCTTTACTTATGTGAAAATGCCGCTCTATGGTGGAGGCGGAAGCATGGGGACATTGAGAAAGGTCTTTACGTCATAGATACATGGGAAGAGTTTAAGAAGCAACTCAAAAAGCAATTCCGTCCTCACAATGCTGAAGACGTAGCCATGAAGAAACTTCGAGGACTCAAGCATGTCGGGTCAATTAAAGACTACGTGGCAGAATTCACCGCTTTGATGCTCGAACTACCTGATTTATTGGAAAAGGATAAGCTGTTTTACTTCCAAGACGGACTACAATCTTGGGCTTACAATGAGCTTAAAAGGAGGAACGTCTAATATGTTGACGAAGCAATAGCTGTGGTGGAAGACCTTATGGGCTTTCGAAGAGATGCTCCCGCCAGAAGGACAAGTGGGGGAGATAAACAACTCGATGAATTGTTCTGGTCCCTAGAATGCTATTTCAACGCTATCGGAGTAAGGACGACAAGTCTAAGATAGACACGGCCGTCCTTTACTTATGTGAAAATGCCGCTCTATGGTGGAGGCGGAAGCATGGGGACATTGAGAAAGGTCTTTACGTCATAGATACATGGGAAGAGTTTAAGAAGCAACTCAAAAAGCAATTCTGTCCTCACAATGCTGAAGACGTAGCCATGAAGAAACTTCGAGGACTCAAGCATGCCAGGTCAATTAAAGACTACGTGGCAAAATTCACCGCTTTGATGCTCGAACTACCTAACCTACAGGAAAAGGATAAGCTGTTTTACTTCCAAGACGGACTACAATCTTGGGCTTGCAATGAGCTTAAAAAGAGGAACGTCCAATATGTTGACGAAGCAATAGCTGTGGTGGAAGACCTTATGGGCTTTCAAAGAGATGCTCCGGCCAGAAGGACAAGTGGGGGAGATAAACCCACACCACGATCACCACAAAGGGATGATAGGCCTGTTGCCAAACCCTCAACTTTCAAAGGAAAGGGGTTGAAACAGGACCCCGAAAGGAGGTGAAGTGTTATCTATGTGACGGACCCATCTAATCAGGGGCTGTCCAAAGAAGAAAAGCTTCAACGCCATGGTATTTGAAGATGAAAGTGAAGAAGCCCAGTTAAGCTCAATGCGACTCCTCAACTCTGTGGCTAAAGAAGAAACTGAGACGGAAAAGGAAAACAGAAAAAAGGGACGTGGTCTAGTGTTCGTCAATGCCAAGCTGAACGAAGAACATGTTAAAGCCCTGATTGACACAAGTGCGTCTCATAACTTCCTATCCGAAAATGAGGTCAAGAAGATTAATATTCAATATACGAAAGAGATCGGTTGGTTGAAAGCAGTAAACTCTCCGTCCGAACCTATCCTTGGGAGTTGCTCATGGAATTCCGATCGAGATTGGAGGATGGAAAGGCACAGTCGATTTAACAATAATGACCATGGATGATTATCGACTAGTGCTAGGAATGGAATTCCTAGACGAGGTACGCCCTTTCTCGTTTGAAGAACAAACCATGAGTATAACTAAGGGTTCGACAATACATATTATACCCATAGAAAGGAACAAGACAGAGTCGCGAACCCTATCAGCCATGCAACTTAATAAGGGACTCTGAAAAGGTGAAATGACTTTCTTGGTGACACTCAAAGAGAACGACCACACGTCCCAAACAGAAGTACCCACAGAGATAAAGAATGTGCTTGAAGAATTCAAAGATGTGATGCAGCCAGAGTTGCCAAAGAAGCTACCTCCTAGGCAAGAGGTAGATCATGAGATAGAATTGGAACCAGGAGCAAGACCACCAACCATGGGGCCTTATCGAATGGATCCCCTTGAGTTGGAAGAACTTAGGAAACAATTGAAAGAGCTACTAGACGCCGGATTCATAAGGCCTTCAAAGGCCCCGTTCGGAGCACCGGTGTTGTTCCAAAAGAAGTATGACAGTAGCTTGAGAATGTGTATCGACTACCGAGCATTAAACAAAGTAACGGTGAAAAACAAATACCCCATTCCTATAGTAGCAGATCTTTTCGACCGACTAGTAAAGGCACGATGGTTCTCGAAGCTAGATCTGAGATCCGGATATTGGCAAGTACGTATTGCAGTCGGCGATGAACCAAAGACGACATGCATAACTAGTACAGATCGTTCGAGTTCTTAGTCATGCCCTTTGGATTAACCAACGCACCTGCCACATTTTGCACCTTAATAAATAAGATCTTCCATCCCTTCTTGGATAAATTTGTTGTGGTGTATTTGGACGACATTGTGGTGTACTCTGAGTCGTTGGAAGAGCACATTGTGAAACGTCCCAAAAATATAGTCTGAAAATTTCGTTTTAAATTAGTAATAAAACCATATTCATCGAACGTCATATAAGAATCATAAACAATGTATCTCAAAATATCATAGCAACTGTCAAATATATCAGAGTATAAACATCCCAGGCTGAACAAATGGTGTGTGCACTGCAATCTTCTCGAGCTCCTCTTTTGAAAACTGAGTACCTGAAACCAAAACTGAAAACCGTAAGCACGAAGCTTAGTGAGCTCCCCAAACTACCACATACCATACAATAACACAA